AAGATTGCCACTGCATTAGGGTTACCGAAAAAGAAGATGGTACCACTATCAGCTGTCGGCAACGGCTAGCCTCCCAAGTCAAAGACTTCAGAAATGATTTCAGTGACGGCACTTTGATACTTTATGCATCATTGCCTTGTGTCGGGGGTAGCCCATGGGGGAACGTCAATGGCCTTACTGTTGAGGGTCAAGAAAGAATCAAAGAGCAACAAAAACAGTTTAGCAAGTTGTTCAAGTCTTTTGCCAAACTTGTGGATGAAGTTTGTGATGAACGAACCTTGATAGCATTTGAACTGTCCAAGAATTGCAAATATTGGAGATGGCCAATGGTTAGAAAATTCCTTATAGAACGATCCATGACTACTCATCACTTTGATGGTGGCATGTTGGGTGTTCTTGGAAACAACGGCCAACCAATGAAGAAAAGTTGGACCATTGCGGGAAACTTCAAAGAACTTGCGATGTTAGATTCATTCAAATGTGATGCCAAACATGAGCATGATCAAAGCAGGGGTAAAGCTCTTAAACTTGCTGAGAATTACACTTTCAAGTTGACTGACATGCTCCATGAGTGTTTCCGGGTAGCTGTGGTGGGCCAAACATCCAAAAGGATTTCACCCGCTGTCATTCGTGCCTGTCCTGCTAAAATGGCTGACTCGCGATACGCCACAGCACACCCGGCCAGCCGCGAGGCTGCGCTCGAAGCCACACGTGAAGCTAACAAAGAAGCATGGTATCTCCTTCACAATCGCATTTTGTTTGCATTGGCCATGCGCAATGAAGGTGAAACTCAGGTTTCTCAGGACCTTGCGGATGGATTGATGACCGAATGGACGCCGGCCTCAGCCCTGAGGTTCTACGGTCAAGAGGATCCGCTTGCAGAATATCTTAGCTTCTGCTTCATGCCAAAAGAGTCCCACATTGAAAAGATCATGTTGCCAGAGATGCCCGTCAATGAAGTAATCTGGATCTTAGTCTCCGATTCGTCATGTGCACTGATCACAGGGCGTAGGAAAACACTTAAGAAATACGATCTGTCTGAGCATTTTCAGCAGCGTAAGCCTAAGTATGTGACTGAGTTCATCCATGAGATGCTTTGGGGCAAGACTCTGCAGAAGTTGGTCAAGCGTGGGATTGAATTGTCCGCGGACGCCCGCGAGCGCTATCCTGATGCCCGCATCAATCTGCATTTGTCCTGGTTCGGAAATGAATTGGTAGGTGAGGATGGGATTGCCCAAAATCCAAATTGGCCATACGACGGTCCCAACGGGCACTGGCCGACGATCATGGACGATTGTGAACGCCACTTGACTTGGTTTGTCAACAAAGCCCGTAAATTGGATTTGCAATCGGCCGGTCTCACCACCGCGCCCTGGTCTGCTGACTATGGCATTCATCCGATTTTTGACCAGTTTTTCGATGCGTTGGAACCAAAGTTCAAAGACCTGACCAGCAGCCTGCAAGGGCTTGCCAATCCGAAGTTCCCATGGTTGCGTGCAAAGGGGTACGCCGATGCAATGGAATTCAGAGACCAATGGCACTTCGCCAACTCTGAAGAAAATCGCACACGGCTCTCTGCGTACTGGACGGCAACTTTGTTTGCCATTGACTGTGGGTGGCGGGTTGGCCGAATAGGGCTTGAGCTTTCCCAATGTGCCCAGGAAACATGGGATGACCTGCGAAGGAACATGGGCACCGTCCTCGACGAGCTGCCACGATCCTATCAGGAGACGGTTGCAGGCATCACCAAGTTGCTTTTTGGCGAGCCCCGAAGACACATTGTCCCGACAGGCAGGTCATTCACCAAGGAAGACGTTGAAGCTCAACAGCCTGACACAGAGGACTACATCGATGTCAAAACGATGGCTCCTGGCACCTTTGCCGAGCCTCCAAGGGACGACCCTCCAAATCCGGCCGCCGGCGACGGCGAGCCCGCAACATCCGGCACAGCATCGATCACTGTCCAAACAGCCGAGGTCTTGTTGAAGTCACGACCAAAAGCAGTGCCTGCCTCTGCATCCGCAGCCGCGCCTGCAGACGACACAGGAGCCACTTCCAGCCAGTACCGGCCGCAGGCAACTGCGCACTTAGAGGAACATGCATCAGGTTACGTGAAAGCATATTGGATGGAGGAGCATTTGCCCGAATACCAATATACAATGGTGACCAATGCAGACGGGGACGATGTACCCGGTATCCTTTTTGACGGTACGGCTTATGAATTGGAACTGCTATCGGCATCCGACGTGGAAACCATCGCCGGCCAGACTCGTGTCGACAAGAAATTTTCCGATTTCGCAACCCGTGTCAATAAAGTTTGTAGGGGGCATGGATCCTGCGCCAAGGTACCCATGGACAAGGACCTTTGGATCGATTTGGAGGATTTTGCCAAAGCCTTCCGCAAGGAAGTGCCCCCAGACGTTTTCATCACCGTCTCAAACCTTTTTGGCACTGCAATGAAAATCGACAAGCATGGCAAGAGTAGGTTCCAATTCTTGTGTGCAAAGATTTCCAATTTTCCTGTCGACAATGGCTTAGGCATGGATCTTTATCCCGTGAAAATTCGTGCAATCCAGGGTCATTCCCAAGCTGCCCTGAAGACCGCCGGGGGTCTTTATGCCAATTCAACCATGGTGTATTGCTCAGACCAAGTCTCCCCCGAGCGAAAAGCCGCCTTCACTGGCGTGCCCATTTGTGCCATGACTGAGGTCCCTGATGTTGCATTCCATCGCACGATGAGAAGCAGCTGGAAGAGCATCGCACAGAACGGCCTGATCCCAGCCGACCGTGACTCAGTCAACAGCGGCCGTGCCCATTCCTACATGTCGGAGCACCGCATAGGCACAGATGGGTATAGATCTGGATTAAGAGCAAAATGTCCAGTCGAAGTCAAAATTGCAATGCGGCAAGCAGTTGAAGCTGGTGTCATCTTTAGTCGCACAGAAATGGATGGTATTTTGTGTTCAGAACGCATTCCACCCCAATTTCTGGTCAGCATCTCAGAGGATGGAAAGGTGCTTTGGTCCCGCGCCGAGAGCAATCTCGAGCCCAGTACTTGGACAGGCGCGGAAACAACCTCATCACCGACATCCAAGAAAGTCCAACTGACTGCTCGCGACGATGCCAATGACGACCCAATGGATGACACCAGCACGGGGCGACCCGATGCCAAATCCACCGATGATGATGTCACCAACGACCCAATGCAAGTTGACCAGCCACCCGCGAGGGTGCGCCGTGTTTACGCTGCACCAAAGTACTGCGAACCTTTCATGGGCTCCTGCCCCCTGTGTCAGGTCGTGTACGTAAGTGGTCAGGTGACATGCACCACATGTGGATTTGAGCCACTTCCAGTGGACGAAAGTGGCGAAGCAAAAGGGTCTGACCAACCCAACAGGAGGACCCGCATCTTGGAGAAGCGCATGCAAAAGCTTGCAGGGTTTGGGATGTACGGCAAAATGAGTGGTACCCTTTTGGCAGCATTGACCAATGAACAAGCTGCCATGCTTCGCCGGGAACTGGGCCCAAGGGGGATTACATCCATTGAATCAGCAGTCATCAAAGACTGCCGCGACCGACACAAACGAGCAAAGGCACTTGGCTATGAAGACGTAGAAGACCGCTATGCAAGTGACGTTACGTTTTGTGATCGCGTTCATGGAGAGGGTAGGGGCTTAAGTGAATGTATTTTCGACGATATGTTTGCGTATGCCAATCTCCCAGATCCGCCCCGCACCAGGACCCAGATCTCGGCTGGCGTCGCCGCCAATGCCCAAAATGAAAATTGCCTGTCAAAGTTGACTTTTATGTCCCAACCTCGAGGTGTGGAAGGATTCCCCATTGAATTTCGCAAGACATGGAAGAAGACTTGGGGTTTCATGTTCGGTCGCCACATTTTTACAGAAGATGAATTTGTCAGCTACATCGGCCGAAGGGGCGCATTTCGTGGCCTGCTGACCTGCAAGGGCACCGTCCAAGTTCCTGTCAATGGCACTCTTGAATTCCTCGAAAAGCTATATGAGGAAAACCTCCCATTGGTTCGGGGCAACCTTGAACGCAAGGAGAAACAGAGCGCCGCTGCAAAGGCCGGAGGTCCTGGGGGTCAAAAGGCCGACCCCAGGGTCGCGCCCACTGCTGAGCGAAAACGCAAAGCTGAAGCCGACATATCTGCCACTGGACAAGCTGACACAGCCGCCTCAAGCTCCGCTCCCGCGGACACCTCACACGTAGATGCCTCACTTGGTCCCGCATCGACACCATTCCTTGCACCAGAGCCACCAACACCCAAAGGAGGAGCAAGACCATTCTTGGAGCCTGAGACACCGCCCACTGCAAAAGCAGCAAGCACAGTCACATCAAAGGCTGCAAGCTCCGGTCGCCCGGATGCCTCCTGGAGTTGGAATCGTGATCACTATGGTGCACGCCGTGAATGGAGTTTCTGGCGTGGGGCTTGGTATTACCGTGATGAGGCCGGCGGCCGTTGGATCTATTGGAACCGCAGGTAGACGATGATTTTCTTTTGTAGCATAGCGCAAGATGCGGCATGGTAATGCGCCTTCCTTGCAACGCGGCGCTGGGTTTTACGGGCTTGAGCTTTTTAGAGGGACCTTTGAAAGACTGCATAAAAGTTCAAAACCACTAAACAAATTTGGCTACCCGCGAGGGTATGCTCTTCTGGGTTATTCGTTCTCCGCAGTCGTCCCTGCTCGCCCAAGGGGGGTGTAAAAACTCCTGCAGTAAAACCATGTATTGTATATATCATCGTACTACTCTGAAGCGTTGGTTCAAAAGTACCAGGTGCTTAGCGGATTTCACTGTGTCTTGCCCCATTAGTATATTGTAACTAATAGTTGGCTGACCTGTGAATATACATTTTTCTAAATATTTGTGTCTAGTACATTATATAGCGTGATGTTATATTGATTACAATTGATTACAATTGATTACATATTATTACGAAATGAGATCGTGCTTGATTTCTACAAAGACCTCCCTGTTAGGCGCAAAGAAACATGGAGCGCCTCAACGAAGAGCGAAAGCGGAGATTTTTGATGCTGGAAGAGAAGGCGCGGTCACGAGATCGAGACCAATGGCTCCAACTGACTAACCGAATTCTCAGACCTTCAACTGCTGACTTCAGCTGTATATCTCAATTCATTTCAATTGATCCTTCAATTATTTTTTTCACTAGGTTTCAATTTATGGTTCAATTGAACCAATATCTCAGCCGCCCTTACGTTCGAGACCTTCCTCACGGGTCGAATGAAAGGATGAAAAGACATGTTTTTTAAATCAACAGACGACTCAATATCAGAAATGGTTTTTTATTTTAGAAAAGGCTGAACACTTGGACTCAAAAGATGTGGACAACTGTTTGTGAAGCTTTCAGCGTGTTGAGTGCCGCCTCACATCTGGTCACATTGGAATGGTTCTGCCGGGCTCTGGGTACTGAGCCGAACCCTGGGCGCATTGCCGATGCAAAGCCACCGGTGACATTCTGCTTTTGTCGATTTTCACTGTTCTCATCTTTACTCTTTTGTCAGTTTTCACATTCTGTATTGTGCATGGTTTGTCCCTGTTTCTTAGAGATTTGGGACTTATCTTGTGACTGACTTAAAAAGTGCACAAGGTATATCAAACCAAGTATGGCCTGTCGAAGGATATGGAAGTATATGGAAGTATATGGAAGTATATGGAAGTATATGGAAGTATATGGAGGTATATGGAGGTATATGGAAGTATATGGAAGTATATGGAAGTATATGGAAGTATATGGAAGTATATGGAAGTATTGAATAATTTGAATAGTGTTTGAAACATTTTGAAACGGAACGTGCTTTATAGACTTTGGCCATGCTCCAATGGGGCCATGATGATTTCATCCACACGCATCACGGTGCACGGCGCACAGGGCGATCTGGAGCTGCTGGTGCAGGAGCTCAAAGCCTTGAAGGGCGGAGAGAAATGGACGCGCCTTGGTTCGGTCCAAGATTCCAAAGCAAATCCAAAAAGACTCCAAGTTGAAGAGTTTTGGTATGTTTTTGTCATCCTTTTCCATTCTTTTTGTGTCTTTTGTATTCTATTGTTGGAAAGTGTTGTTGCTAATTTGTATTATATATTAGGTGATTATTTCTGCTTAAATGCCTCTCTCAAAGTAAACTGTGCACGGGTATGCATTTGCATGGATTGTTTGAGTATCCGTTTCTAAAAGGTTCCTGTAGGCAGAGGTTGTCCTTCAACTGTCTCCAGACCATACCATGAAAAGCTTTGATCGTGCTTTGCTATGCTTCTTGGCAACTTCTTCGTTTCGAGACATTATTTCCTCGGCACCTGCCATACCGACACTGGTCTCTATGGCCTTTGCGAGTCAAATTTCATTTTGAGGCTCTACACTTCCACCTGGTCAGTACCTCAGAGGTCTGAAGGCACCACAGAACATAAAGATCAAAAGAATTGTCATTCTTGAAGACTTCTACAGAACACAGACAAAAAAAGACCGGGCTGTTGCAAAACTTGCTGCCAGGCCTAGTCAGGTTGCAAGACTTTTAGCTTTGGAGAACAGGGTCACCGCCCAATGCAACCTGGCCGTGATCTGTTTCTCACCATTCTCACCTTGTCCACATGTTTGGTTTACACGTTTAGTTCATATGTTTTGGCGTTGATAGAACTTAAAAAATCAACCAGTTTAAAGATGTTTAAGCACTTTGAAGCAAATTGAGCTGCCGCAGAACCCTTGAAACACATCAAGGGAAGCATGTAGAATCGCTCACATACGCTTGGAATGTGTGCCAAGATGTGCCAAGTATTGCCGAGTTGGGTTAGGTCGAGCTGCTGTGCTTTTGCGCGATGCGGTTCTCCATGATGTGGACCATTGGTGCGAAAAGCAACGGCAGGTGCGAGATGGATAAACCGATGGATAAACCATAAACCGCAAAGCCAGGTGAATGATGGTTGATGCACTGTGTTGCACATTACCTTCCGTGAGGTTCAAGAAGCTGGCGGGAAGGAGGAGGATGGTGGTGCCGGGCTTCGGATTCTCCTGCAGCAGGCAAGACTCAAACAAATGACAGACGGCATACGACATCATACGACCTTTGCCAAAGTTTCAGCAAACTGGGTCGTTCGGCCCACGCAACAGAGTTTCATGTCGCTTGGGGTTGAATCGCAAATCTGTCTAAACTCTGAGGGAGCACTGCTTTGGTCATTCTGTCATATTTCGGTGCTTTTCTTAGCATAAGCCTAGGCAAAGGCTTACTGCAATTCTGTCATTGGTCTCCAAGTTCCTTCGTATTTTCATGTATTTTCACAATCAGAGCTTTGAATGATATCCAACTGAAGTCCTGTATCGTGACCCCTCTTGAAAGGAATGGGTTTTCAAAGTCATTGAATTTACACATATATATATATATGTAGTTTCTAAGTTTCTCGGTTTAAATCTGCAGTGTGGCAGGCTGAGCGGAAAGTCGGCACTATGCTTCGAGAGTCAGGAAACCAATTAGAGTATCGAGTGTCTTAGAGTTGGTTTCAGAAACTAATCCTGTTGTAACAAATGGCTGGAGCTAATGATGTTACTCTGATGTTCCTCTGATGTTCCTGAGGTTTGACTCCTTGGCTAAACAGGAACAAGAGTTGGCCGGGGAGATTGCTGGTTGGATTCCGCAGGCAGGAACCAACATGAAATCAGCACATGGCGTTCAGAATTTGCTTTCAGAATGTCGCACCTCGTCCATGGTTTCCCAGACTCAGGCCATCCTGCAACAATGGATTCTCATTCTCGTTGGTTCATGTTGCTCATGTCGAACGCAAGCTGCAGGTTCTCGATGTTTTAAATTCTTTTTGATTGGAGTATGTTTGATATGTAGATTATGTAGATATATGTAGATTATTATTTGATTTGTAGATAATTGTTTGATGAGTTTGTTCGGCAAGGTGCAGAAGGCTGTCAGAGGCATTGCGCTGGAGGGCTCTGAGGAGGTCAGCACACGAAACATCAACGAGAGATCTTGGTAGACTCACTTCGTAGACTTCGTCTAGACTTCGTCTAGACTTCGTCTAGACTTCGTCTCAGGAAGAAAAGGAGAGGGACAAGACTGAAGAAGGTGGCAAAGAGGCCGGCAAAGAGGCCGGCAATGAGGCTCGGGCAAGAGACCAGCTCAAAATGACTCAAAGATTAAAGATGCTATCAGTTGAAACGTAGACAATGTAGACATTGACAGCATGATTGATATGACTTGTCAGGTCTCAGAAGAGTTTGTTGAAGTCTTGAGTTTAATCCTTCGACAGTCCGTAGCTGAGAGGGATTTCGTATGATTTTGTTATTTGGTCAGGCTTTTCCACATCAATTTCCCAAATGACCGTTGGGATATGTTGGGATGTTCAAATCTTTCTTTGGGTGCGTCCCCCTGGTGTCGTTGGTGCGCTCGTCCCTACCTGTTTCCAACAGGCTTTCTGCTCTTCTCTTTTCGATTGGTTCGATTTTGTCCTCAAATGTGCCTACCACTTGTTTGGTGTTTTGGGTTGTTCCTCGTTGCCCTGCCTTCGCGGTTTCGGTGGGTGGCACCGGGGTGTGGCTGGTTGCGCGTTAACAGTGATGGTCAAGGACGGGAGGTATTGAAGGATATTGAAGGTATTAGATAGATGATTCTGTTTGCGCACGGGGAGCAAGAATCCAAGTATGATACATTTGTTCCTTTCATTAACTTGGGTGCGGGGGAGGTGCCCCCACAAACGTTCAAAGAGGTGATCCGACAGATGAGTCTGGTCTCCTTGCATAGCGCTGAAGTAGGTCAACGTGCAGGACCATTCTGAGGGCAAGTTTTAGTGAAATAGGAGGAAGAGCAGCAAAACGCCTATATTCGTTTCATCAGGTTAAGATTTCACTCGAAAACCAAACCTGTCTGCAGGCTACAAGGTTTCTTTTCTTCTCATTTCTAAACAGGACATGTTCTTGCTGCTTTCTCCTTCTTGTCCAAGAGGAGTTTCTATTATTTTTGGTTTTCGTTCTGTGCCTCTTTCCTCCGTTGTCCTTTTCTTCAACCCAACGGACACATTCAGCCGATCGACATTCTAGTTTGGGACACTCCAAGGCTGGACAGCCATCGGATGAAAATTTGGGGACAGGTTGCAGAGGTGGGCTGATTTTCATGTTCTCTTGATGCTGCTGAGCTGCTGCTGCCAGTTCAGTTGCGGCTCTTTGCATCAAACTTGTTTCTGAGAAGAGACCGACTCAAGAGCCTCAACAGCCCGAATGATGAGACTGAAACTTGTGGGCAAAACAAATCATGAATCATGATGGCACTTCCTATGCTTGGTTTGCCAAGTTTCGCTTTTGGTTGGAACTCTTGAGAAAGTGTTTGCCAAGATTGCTCAGACTTGATCAGATCCAACATCTGCAGGATCACAAAGCATTAGGCGGTTTCACTGCACAGCTGAAGACTTTGGCGGAATGCAGCAGTGCTTTAGGCGCCTTTGGCCAAGTCAGAAAGGTATCTCAGTATCTCATCAATTCTCATCAATTCTCATCAATTCTCATCAATTCTCATCAATTCTCATCAATTCTCATCGTGTATGTTTCCGTTTTTATCCGTTTTTGTATTGAACAAGGCGCCGATGTCACTGAGCTGACGGAGGAGATGCAGTGACTCGGCACTCAGGAGAATTTCTACGCCGTTCAGAGACGTTCTCCAAGTTTTCCCTTTTTTTCCCATCTTTTTCCCATCCTCTTTTTCCAATTTGATTTTCCAATTTTAGCATATTTTGACATTCCATATTTCTTCTCCGTTTGTTCTCTGTTGTGATATTCTCACTTTTACCTTATTCATTTTGGGGCTCTCACATTCCTATGTTTCTCTCCCATTGTCTTGATCTTTGTGGCGGATTTGTATCCTTGGCCTTTTCTTGTCGCAAGGTTTGAATTGGAAGTCGGTGGATCCTCTGCATCACGGCAAAGGCCCCTCCCATACCACAGTGACGAGGCTGGAAAGCATCAAAAGGTCATTTCTTCTCTTTTGTCACCAATCAGGTTAGTTCGAGTTTACATGTTACTCCTGCCATGCCTTGCTTTGATTCGCATTGCTCGAGGTGGCAGCGGCTTTGGCTTCACCCCAAGGTCTTGCTTCGGAGGCGCACCATCTGCATATCAGAACGCGCACAGACTCTAGACATGGTCAAAGCGCTAAGAAATCCAAGACTTAGAGGATTTTTCGTTTCAGGATTTGCCGGACGCCAATATCTCTGCAAGCTCCAATGAGCAGGCCGTTCATTGCAGACACAGGGTTTGAATTCTCACCTCATTCCTTTGCTACCACTCGCTTCTTTTGCTCTTTCTTCTCTTAGGCTTAGTAAGGCTTCAGTACGGGCGAAGGTTCTTAGAATCTTGTTGTCAGGACTTAGCCAGGGCACCTTTTGCGCTGTGCATGTCATTGGCATCCCACGGTAAGGCTTGCAGTTCATTGCGTCTCTACGGCGGAGTGAACCGTATGAAAACTGCCTTTGGTGGTGGATATCTCAGAGTCTCAGTACAGAGTTGAAGCAATGTCAGAGATGTGACGACAATTTGACGACGACGATGTCTCTGTGCATTGAATCAGGATACCTCGTGTGATCTTGTGTGCAAAATCGATTCTTAACGCAGCTGACCAGGGTGGAGCCCAGTCCAAGATGCTGAATCTGAATACATTCAGGCGGCGGCATGGGCATGCTTCCATTATTCAGGAATCCTGGATAATCCTGGAGGAAGCTTGACATATGCTTGACATATGCTTGACTTGTTGGCATATTTTGTGGTTTCTCTGTGTTTCTTTGTGCTCTTTTTTCCAACTTGCTCCACAGGTGGACTTGGGCAAGTCCATTTGGGTCAGCATCTCTGATCGCTGAGAGCATCTCTGCTCATGGCCTCGCCACTTTGCGCATTTGACGTTGCACCCGTTGCACCGCTCCACGTTCACGGTTAGGTGAGCAGCTTAGCCCTGCAGGGCAGAAGGTGCGCAACCGAGTGCACCCTTTTCAGTCTGGTTGACCTGTCATTGGGACTTGCCCAACGAAGCTTGGAGGTTGAATTCTTTTCCACATAGGAACCCCTCTGAGTTTCATTAACTTCTTGCACATACACTTACTTTGTCTACTGTGTGTATGTTATGTTACCGTAGGTCAGGTTATGTTAGGTTACTGTGTGTTTCGTTTCGTTGTGTTGTGTGATGTTGTATTATATATATTATAAATGCAGTGTATGCAATGCATGTAATGTCATGTCATGTCATGTCATGTAATGCAATGTAAGGTAAGGTAAGGTAAGGTAAGGTACGATGATTGATGTAATGTAAGGTAAGGTAATGTAGTGTAATCCAAGTAAGGGAAGTGAAGGGAAGGCAATGCAATGTAGTAATGTAATGTAGTGCAATGTAATGTAATGTGGTGTAGTGTAATGTAGTGTAATGTAGTGTAATGTAGTGTAATGTAGTGTAATGTAGTGTAATGTAGTGTAATGTAGTGTAATGTAGTGTAATGTAGTGTAATACAGAGACATACACATGTATATATATATATATACATACATTTATACACACCCATAGACTCATAGATACACATACTACATAATACAATCATATATATATATTATATCTATATATTCATTATTTGCATTTTATACACATATGAATCTAGAAAAAGATTACCTAAAGCATATTCCCCGTCTCAGAACTTCACCTATTGCTGCAAGTGCTCCTGCCTTGCTACCGTCACTGACCGTGACAAAAATCTCTTGTTGCAGGCCTATCAGTGGTGATTGGGAGGCCACAAGACCCCTTCTGGCAGAGGCACCCATGCAAAGTGCTCTACCAATGTTGGACATGTTGGACATGTTCAAACTGTTCAACATTCCCATGTGAGTCATGTGCATCCGGTCTTCTCGGTCTTCTCAGTTGCTGGATCCGGGCGACCCTTTGCCACCAAACAGGCACGGGTGTCAGCATGCTAAGCAGGGAAGTCAGGGGTTCATCTCAGTGAGGGTCCTGTGTCCCAGTCGGATGAATTGCTTCAGAGTTCAAAAGGCTTTGTTGGGCTTTGTTGGGCTTTGTTGGACTTACTCAGGGTCCGAAATTCGTTTCATCGTTGTATTAGTTACAAATTGAATAGGTCCATGCAGTCAGCCACCCTTTCAGGATTGTCGTACCTGACTGGCCTATCAGGATATTCAAGCGGCCACCTGTTCGCCTCATCCATGATGTGGTGGTGGTCCGTGCCTCAGATACCACAACCACGCAGGATTTGGATCAGAGAAAAACTGCATGTAAAACCATGTAAAGGATTTTTTTGCTTTTGTTTGGTTACCTTTGTGTGGGGTTCTTGTTTTTGGTTCTGTATCCCAGGTGCCTCCTCCTCCTCCCGCCTCCTCCCGCCTCCACACACCATCTTTCACACACAACTTTGCCAACCACCATCTTTCACACACAACTTTGTCACACACCATCTTTCACACACAACTTTGTCACACACCGTCTTTCACACACGACTTTGTCACACACCATCTTTCACACACAACTTTGTCAACCACCATCTTTCACACACAACTTTGTCACACACCATCTTTCACACACAACTTTGTCACACACTATCTTTCACACACAACTTTGTCACACACCATCTTTCACATACAACTTTGTCACGCACTATCTTTCACATACAACTTTGTCACACACCACCTTTCACATACAACTTTGTCACACACTATCTTTCACACACAACTTTGTCACACACCATCTTTCACACACAACTTTGTCACACACCATCTTTCACATACAACTTTGTCAACCACCATCTTTCACACACAACTTTGTCAACCACCATCTTTCACACACAACTTTGTCACACACCATCTTTCACATACAACTTTGTCAACCACCATCTTTCACACACAACTTTGTCAACCACCATCTTTCACACACAACTTTGTCACACACCATCTTTCACACACAACTTTGTCACACACCATCTTTCACATACAACTTTGTCAACCACCATCTTTCACACACAACTTTGTCAACCACCATCTTTCACACACAACTTTGTCACACACCATCTTTCACATACAACTTTGTCAACCACCATCTTTCACACACAACTTTGTCACACACCATCTTTCACATACAACTTTGTCAACCACCATCTTTCACATACAACTTTGTCAACCACCATCTTTCACACATAACTTTGTCACACACCATCTTTCACACACAACTTTGTCACACACCATCTTTCACGCACAACTTTGTCAACCACCATCTTTCACACACAACTTTGTCACATAAGTCACATACCATCTTTCACACACAACTTTGTCACACACCATCTTTCACATACAACTTTGTCAACCACCATCTTTCACACACAACTTTGTCACACACCATCTTTCACACACAACTTTGTCACACACCATCTTTCACACACAACTTTGTCACACACCATCTTTCACACACACAATAACTTCACACACAACTTTGTCACACACACAACTTGGTCACACACAACTTTGTCACCTGGCACTTTGCGTGGCAGGCGTGGCACAATCTCACATCCACCTTCGTTTTGCGTGGCAGGCGTGGCACTCATGGAACTATTAGTCGCCCGTGACGCCCGTGACGCCGCGGCACTTTGCGTGGCAGGCATGGCACAATCTCACGTCCACCTTCGTTTTGCGTGGCAGGCGTGGCACAAACTCACATCCACCTTCGTTTCGCGTGGCAGGCGTGGCACTCATGGCACTCAGCGGCGCGCTTGGACTTGGTTTATTCGCCCGTGACGCCCGTGACGCCGCGGCACTTTGCGTGGCACCCTGCGTGGCAGGCGTGGCACAATCTCACATCCACCTTCGTTTTGCGTGGCAGGCGTGGCGCAAACTCACATCCACCTTCGTTTCGCGTGGCAGGCGTGGCACTCATGGCACTCAGTGGCGCGCTTGGACTTGGTTTAGTCGCCCGTGACGCCCGTGACGCCCGTGACGCCACGGCACTTTGCGTGGCACTCTGCGTGCGTGGCAGGCGTGGCACAATCTCACATCCACCTTCGTTTTGCGTGGCAGGCGTGGCACAAACTCACATCCACCTTCGTTTCGCGTGGCAGGCGTGGCACTCATGGCACTCAGTGGCGCACTTGGACTTGGCTTAGTCGCCCGTGACGCCCGTGACGTCGCGGCACTTTGCGTGGCGCGTGGTACAATCTCACATCCACCTTCGTTTTGCGTGGCAGGCGTGGCACAAACTCACATCCACCTTCGTTTCGCGTGGCAGGCGTGGCACTCATGGCACTCAGTGGCGCACTTGGACTTGGTTTAGTCGCCCGTGACGCCCGTGACGCCACTTTGCGTGGCACCCTGCGTGGCAGGCGTTGCACAATCTCACATCCACCTTCGTTTTGCGTGGCAGGCGTGGCACAATCTCACATCCACCTTCGTTTCGCATGGCAGGCGTGGCACTCATGGCACTCAGTGTTGCGCTTGCATTTGGCTTAGTCGCCCGTGACGCCCGTGAGGCCGCGGCACTTTGCGTGGCAGGCGTGGTACAATCTCACATCCACCTTCGTTTTGCGTGGCAGGCGTGGCACAAACTCACATCCACCTTCGTTTCGCGTGGCAGGCGTGGCACTCATGGCACTCAGTGGCGAGCTTGGACTTGTTTTAGTCGCCCGTGACGCCCGTGACGCCGCGGCACTTTGACGCATTTTTTTTGCAGCTCTGAGTTCTGCATGCGCATGACAACTAATACCGTCACCACACCAATGTTGCAACACAGTCACTTGCATTTGTTGAATGAAAAGAGTCACTTGCATTTGTTGAACATGGTTGCTTCGACATCTGCACCGTTGGAATAAAATATGAAAAATCCTGGCGTCATGTTCTTTCCGCCTGCTACCCATGGCCTTGTGAGTGTGGAGTCGGGCGATTTGATGGCAAGCGAAATCGTGCCAGTTCCATGCGAATGTTGGGCGAGTGCAAACCTGACCAGAAGAAAAATGTTTGCCAGGGCGTATGATATCCTTTTGAAATTTCGAGGACGAAGCCGCGTGCAAGACAGGATGGTCTGGATTGGTACCGAAGAGGGACGCGACTGTTATGCGTTGCAAACATACAGGCTCTGTTGCAAATGGTTTGCCCCTCGGAATCAACCGGATGATTCAGATGTGCACGCTCGTGCTTTTGCTGCGTCCAGCACTTGCGCATCTCTTCCAGTTGCGCCTCATGTTCCAGTGGCGCATACTTTCGCAAGACAGAAGGTGCAAGGAAACCAAGGAGAGTGGCTGGATGTTGACTACATTCTGATTGATTTCGTTGGGCCCAGCATGATCACGTGGTTAATGACCATCAATCATCAGTGGACTGGTGCATGGTCGGAGATGTTACGGAAATCTTTTCTGTCCCTGATGCTTTTGTGCCACCGCTCCCACCTGAGCAACCTGTCTTGGCATCAGGAACTTTTATCTGAGTCGCTCTGCTATGATGTTGTGAAGAGAAGCTGGTTCTGGGACGGTGCTGCCATTTTAGACGAGCAGACAGTGCATATCTCTTGCGCCAGAGCCTGCCACAGAGCTGCGCGCATGCTTATGCGTGAGTTGCAGGCCTACATGTATGCCAAAGCACATGCTCATTCTGTCTTTGTCCAGTGGCAAGAATGGCCGCGTATTCATTTGAGCGAGACAAAAAGATCGAACATCGATGTTGCCGGCATTGCAATAAATCTAGGCCTCGATCACCCGGAGCCGCCGTGACACAATGGCCGTTTGGATTTTCACAGATAACATGTGGACGGAAACCGCATGGCGAGCACTGACATTCGCTTTCTTATCTGCTGTTTTGGCTGCCGGCATTGTTGATTCAATGTGGAAAGACATGCCAAGCAGATGACATTGGAACGCGCAGTGATCCGGAATGGCTTGGCGCAACGTGCAAAGAGCCCAATCTCAGTCACACTGCGTGCGGTTGACATATTTGGGAAAAACTACCAGGTAGCGTCATAAGATGAAGAAACTGTGACTGTGCCGCAAGAAGATGCTGCCTGATGTCAGCACTCCGAGGCTTCGCATTGTTGATTGATGTTTGTTCGCAGACGAGGGAATGTACCACAAACCGTGATATGTTGCAGGCGAAAGTTGGTTGATGCCTGTCTGACATATGATTTGAACTGTTTGTGTCTGGTCTGTTTGAAGTGAAATATTGCAAACTTCTGTCCGTTTGCTGCAGGCGGAGGTACCTATTCGATTGCTTGCATGGACAGAGAGAAGCGTGTGTGGCATGGCGGCCCAGTGAAGTTTCTGGATCGGAAGCTTTGGAAGATTCACGCTTAAAAATGTTAGTATTTGGCTTTAGTTAGTCCGTTGTTGACCAGCTTCTGCAGCTATGGCAACGTCGCGAGACCGAGAAGAACGTGGAAGATTGCAGGAGCCGAGCGACAGGCGGAATCGCCTTCCTGATCTCATCAGTGTGACAATGAGCGACGGCTCACTTGTGGAGATCAACTTGACTGGAGCCAATCGAGAAGAAAGGGAAGATGTGGCACGGTTCTTGGACGTACACACTACGGTAGCCGTGGCACCACCTGCTGCACACCGTGAATCAAGAGAGCGGTCACCAAGATTGGCGTTTTCCTCAGGGCCTACCCATCGTGTAACCTCACCAGATGTACAAGACCGTTTCAGGCAACTCCACCGCCCATCGCAAGTCATGGCGAGTCAGCTTCTGATGAAAGAATGCCGCTTGAGCGAGCTGGAGCCGCGAACTTCGCGCAACTGCGACCCCAACGATGCGGAGGCGCGCCCATGTCGAAGGCATCAGCGGTGGCCACAAGCGCGGGCACAAGCGCGGGGTCATTTCCTATGTCCACTGCTCCAGCGGAATCTCCGTCTGAACAGCGTCGCGAGAAGACGCCGTGACAGCAGGCCACGGGAGAAGAAATGTTTCTGTAATTATGATACATATCTTTCTGTACATATCATGAAATGGTTTGACGCAATGTGCGAAGAACCGTTTGATGCTGTGGCAAAAGTGGTTGTGTGTGTTTCTGAATACCAGTAGTACCGCACAAGGCGGTGGCGGAAGTTTCAAAAATAGGAAACCTATAGGAGAGGTTGGTTGTTGTGAATCAGGGATGGCAAAGCGAATCCACTGATGGACCGAGAGGTGCTTGAGGTCTCCTCTCTGTCTCTCTCTTTCTCTGACTATCTACCTACCTATCTATCTTCTATGTATCTATCTATCTATCTATCTAGCTATCTATCTCTCTCTTTCTCTCTTTCATCTAATTGCCTATCTACCT